CAGACTTCTCGGTAAAATAACCATAGTTAAAAAAGAAATACAGCAACAAAAAAAAGACAAATAATCAAAAGTAATTTTTTCATTTGAAATGAATTTCCATTTTAATTATATTAACATGAGAAGAGATGTGGTATAAAAAAGTTTGAATAAGGAATGAAGGGACCTAACGGTGACAATAGCAACAGATTTTAAGAGAAAAACTCAAATAGAAGCAACCATTTCTCATGGATTTATTGCTATATAACCTGAAAAGGAGGTTACTACAAACAGTTATTCTCTGCTTTTAATTTACATCTGACCGATTTATATCTGCATCAAAAATTGCTTTACGATCCATCAGTTTATTCAAACCTTCAAAACATGCGGCATACTTGCTTGAAGAAGTCCTAACCTATGGAGTAGTTTTAGAATGTAAAAAAGGTTTTGTCATATGACCAATGTAGGCTTCTTTTTGATTTCTGCCTTGTACATAACTGTTTCGAAAGAGATTGAGCAATTATGCTGATTATGGGAAAACTTTAAATCACATCATAAATGGATACATGATACTTTTGATATATAAACAAATCAGTCATGTAACAGAGATTTATGTTTTCTAATTTTAGTTAAGTAAGAACACATCAGTGATGGATTCCACTGCAAGCAATTTAGTCATCATCAATATAAAACTAAAATATAGATAATGTTGAAGGATCTGCACAGGAACCTATACACCAATAGAGACCAATCAGTCAACAACGGAATAATACAAGTAACATAGAAGAAAGGATATATTTATTTGCTTCTGTTGACAGTGTTTCAGTGAACTGACTACTTTTATTTTCATAATTTAATTCTAATTAGGAATCTTAAACGTAATACCATGCTAGATTCACTACCTGACAATAGACTTCGGAATTATACACTACTATAGGATTACAAAGTTGAAATCCTCCAAAGAAGTTGGTGATAGACCACAGTTCAAGTTCAATACCCAAAACAGAAACTGAACTAAAGCAGAAAACTGCAAAAAACATCACGTCGTCAGCCATCAGGACAAAATCAGAGACATTAAGCAACATCTCTGAAGGAACCTGCGTGGAAGAACACTGGAAATCTTTCATCGCTCTGTGGAAAGAAACCTGCATAAGCGTATTAGGAAGGAAGAAGAGAGAAGATAAGGAATGAATCTCGATGGATGTCTACATGGAAGCTGATAGAGCAGGGAGAGGAGGATGGTGAAGTGGAAGATGAACCAGTGCGTGGATGCAGCAAGAAAAGACGAACTGAGTACAACGTACAAACACTGTACAAGCAGGTGAAGAAGAGTGCACGAAAGGAAGAGAGACAATTCTACAACACATTGACAAGCGAGGAAGAACAGGCTGCATGTAGGAGAGACAGAGATCTGACAACGTTGTATCAAATGACCAGGTTACTATCCTGGAAGAGATCAACACAGACGAAACCAATGAAAGATAGTGAAGGAAGTGTGATTACCAAGGAAGAGAAACAAAGGAAACGATGGGCTGACCACTTCGAAAGCTCTTGAATCGACCACCACCTCCACTTCCTCTAGAAATATCACCAGCAGCCACAGAACTACCAGTGTGCACAGGCCCTCTGACAAAAGCAGAAGTCCTGAAATGCATTAGGCTACTGAAATGCGGGAAAACAGGAGGATGATATGGAATTCCCACAGAATCATTGAGAGCAGAGCAAGGCACACCACTATTGCTGAAGGTTTGGAAGGAAGGGAAGATACCTACAGATTGGAAGAAGAAGAAGGGCTACCCTGTCAAACTCTCAAAGAAGTGAGACCTTAACATTTGCAAGAACTAACGAGGAATCATGCTGCTGTCCACCACAAGCAAAATATTATGCCACATCATCCGAGAAGGACTGAAACATGCTATGCACACACAATGACGACCGGAACTGGCTGGCTTGCTGGCTGCCTAGCTGGCTGGTTTCAGAAATAACAAATCATGTGAGGATCGAATTGCGATGCTACACTACACTACACTACTCATCATCATCATCATCATCATCATCATAGAACAGAGCATAGAATACCAGTCAACTGAATCCTTACACCTACTTCATCGATTTCGAAAAGACTTTGGACAGCGTCGACCGAGAAGTAATCAAGAAGTTGCTTCAACACTACGGAATGCAGCCAATCATTATCAAGCTCATTCAACAGCTATATGATGATGCCACATGCCAAGTGATTCACAATGGAAATCTACTCAGTGATGCTTCTGAAGTGAAGACAGGAGTGAGACAAGGCTGCCGTCTACCATCACCGATCATCTTCCTGATTGTGGCCAACTGGACTGAACTGGACTGGACTGAACTGTATCATGCAGCAAACGGTGAGGAGCTGTTACAAGATGGGCATAGGTTGACTGGACCGATGAAAAGACCCCAGAAGAAGATTTGGATTTCGCCAACCATGATGATTTGTGTCTGATGTCTGATCACACAAACTCGAGGATCTACAGGTGAAGACCAACAAGTTGACAGAAGAGGTGAGGTGAGGTGAGGTGAGGCAGCGAAGGAAGACGGAAATTCCTACAATTGAACTTAGAGAAGACAGAGGTGATGAAGATACACAACCACCACCACCACCACCACCACAAACACCACCACCACCAACAGCAACAATAACAACAAGAGGCACCAATCAACACGAACGGGAGAAACCTGAAGGAAGTAGTCTCTCTCACCTACCAAGGCAAAACAGCATCTTTTCAACTACAAGCGGCACAGATGACAACGTCAATGCCACTCAACTCAGCATAAGGCGTCAACCATACCCGCATTCTCAACACCAATTCAGTGATGTCAGTGCCGCTGTATTGTCCATAGACTTGGCGCGTTACGAAAGGTGTTTCCAACAAACTGCAGACATTCATCAATAGCTATCTACACTGGCTCGATGATACTGAAGGTGAGATGGATGTCCAGAATGAAAGAATAAGCAACAGGAACTGTGTCTGGTGACGAACCAACCGGGAAGCTGTCGTGCAACAAATATGTAGAAGGAAGTTGAGATGGATTGTGTATACAGTGAGGAGGCGGTTTTGGGACATGACGCGTCAGGTGACGGTGTTGAGGGAGACTGAAAGGGGAGACGACGAGTTGAGCGTCGGTGTGTGACATGGAGGAGATGATGTGCTGAGGAAATGAGATGTTGTGGGCAGTGGTGTATCCATGTTTAAAGGACTGGAGAGAACAGTGTGCAGCTGCGACGTGCCACTAGGAACCGAAGGGAAAAATGAATAATATTAATAATGCAGCGGCCAAGTGTTACTCTTAGATTACCGGGGGACTTTTTGAATATCTCAAATATTTGCCTGAATTGATAATACCAATCGCTAGTAGAGTGGGACATGTTGGTTGCAATATTATTTTTTAAATTGCATAATCTGTGGGGTTTGTTTACTTTCCAATAAAACATAAAACACATCTTGTGGGTTTAAACGTGTATTTCTGAACATTGAAGTTGTAATAAATATGAGAATATAAACATCTCAACCTTTGGGCTGGTTTGACAAAAAGAGAAGATAAAGCTCAGGGTGTAATACAGAAATTGATTTGTGCTCATCAGGTAAACTAATGAACTGGTAGACATTAAGAGAGATGATTGCAAAGAATGATTGCTGTTGGAATTCCATTAGGTGGTATGTAGCATTTTAATGAATTAAAATCATTGATAGAAAGGCGGGAAAAAAACGTTTACTGGTCATTTTTAGCTTTTAAATTCAATGATATTTTAGTTCAAATGAAAAGATGATTGATATTATAGGTTTTCAAAATGCATTCATTATATAAATTCCTTTGCATTTATAAACTGCTTGTTCTATCTTCAGCCGAAAAAGAATAGTATTTACTTCTCTTCAAAATCCATTTGAGAATTCGCAAAAACCTTTGAGAATTAACACAGTCAAAGCCACTATCATTTTATAAATTCGCAAATCAATTTGTTACTTATCTTTTTCGTAGTGCTATTGTATACTAATCTTTTAAATTAAGAAGCCCCTTGTTCACTTATTCACAGTAGGATATTCTTTTTTGTTGTAACCATCATCACTGATTTTAATGCTTCTCAGTTTTCTGTAAACCTGCTAACTTTTATGTCCACTCTCTTTAACAAGTGTGTGTGTGTGTGTGTGTGGATATCACTTCTTACATGTGTATCCTGGACCCTTTATAGAAATACATATATATCAAAACGAAAAAAGTCCATTTTGATTTAGTCTCTTATCTTTTACGGCAGTCACCAAAATGCCTCATTTTATTGAATGATTTCATTCTGTTTATGCTTCTTCGAAGAACATTCCAGTTTCCGATGAATTCATTTTCATTACATCGTATCGATTTTCAAGGTAGCATTCATCATGGAGTGACAGCAGTTGAGAAAGCATGGAAAAACTGGGAGCGTGGGGCAGCTCTCTCTTCCTAATATGGAACTCCTCAGGAGTACGTACCCACGAATCATCAGAAGATCGAGACCAGAACCTCCAGGTTTTTCACCAATTGTTTTAACCAATCAGCCACAGGGTCAGAGTTTATTTGGTGCTAGTTTTCTACTTCTGTCAGTTCGCGATATAGCGCAACTATCCCCCGAGTATGTTCAGTTGGCAACCTCCTTCCCTCCGACTGGTTGACCCTATAGGTCACGACTTCTCATTAGAACTCCGGGATATCCATCTTGAAGTATATCACTAACGAGCACTATGAAGTGATGTGTTATATGAGGTTAGTGTGGATCCTTCTATTCATTTTCAAGCCTACATTCATCGAGTTTTCAGTGGTTTCCCAATTTGTATTGTATTAAGTTTCACCTTAATGGGGATCATAATTATATATTACACTGTACTAACCAAGACATTTCAGCTGGTTATTTAGGTGGCGTACTATATTACGTTTTAGTCCCAGAAATCTAATTTACATAATCTAATCTACCACTAATTAATAATACTAACCATCGACGTTTTCCAACATTTAGCTTTGATATATGTGTATATTTTATCATAAAATGTATAAAAAATCCTTGAACTAATCCTTTTGACTTTGGATTAATTCAGGTGTTTAAAAATGGTAGTCTACTTTCACATTTCCAAAAAACAACTCAAAATAACAACTTCAGTACGGTATCGCTTACTGGCGTTTATATTCAACTGTACAACAAAATTTATGATCAGATAAACATTTAGTATTTGTAATCTTTTCTGCTAACTAATTAGTAAAGCAACTTAAATTGACAAAAATCTTATTAAATATGCATTCAACGTTATCACAGTGTAGAGTTTGTTGAAGTTCGAAAGTTATTACATTCTACACATGTAGGTTGTTCATTTCTTGACCATAAGAGGCCTCCGGTTTGTTTCTCAGCATTCACTGAATTTATTGTCGACAGTACTAAAAGATTATTACTTTTCACAGATAGGTGTTGATGATCAGCTGGAAGTTTGCTTTTTTCTGCTATACAGGAGCTCAGATCATTCATTGATGACCTTGATTTATTTGCTGCATTTTCGTTCAAATTTTGTGAAGGATTTGTCGTTTGTATACCATGAATATTCTCAATGTCTATAACTGGACTTGAATGGTGGAAGTTAACTCCTATGACTCTATCTGTGTTTAGTTTGCTTGGTGAATTCGATGGAATAAATGTGAATAACTTTGTATTTTCATTTATTACTGGGTTCTGTAAGAGGTTAAGATTTATTTGGTCAGTCTTTATATTCAATAATTGATCATTTGATGTAGATGTTGAAACTACTTGTCCTTGTGACCGTAAGATAGTTTTAAAGGTAGGCTTCAGTGCTGGGTAATATAGTTCCTGATAATAAGGAGCAAGATAAGTACCATGCGGTTCTTTATTTATGACTGAACTAGATGTGGTAATATTTGTTGGCAAACGGGAATCTAGAAATAATGACAAGAATAGGTAGTATCAGTAGCGATAGATTTTAATAATGGTTTTGGAGGGAAATATTATCTTTCATGTAACAAAAGTACCAGTCGAAACTTTTGGGCCTTAAAGGAAGTTTTACATTAGAAAAGACGTTCACCTACTATGTAACAATGTTTAAGGTGTCTCTAAAATTTCAGTGCAGCAGGCATAAACACCATATGATAAGCATAAGAAATGCTTAGAAGTCATTTGCAATATTATCATATCAGAAATGCATATTTCAACTTACATCTTACTTCTCTGCAGTGGATTGTTTTCCGTTCACATTTTGAGTAGTTTCTAACAGTTGCTGAAAATACTATGTATGTCGGACGTTCTCAAATGGAATATCAATGTTTATTGTAGTCTGAGGATAATTTTATTTGCTTTCAATGTACTTTTTAATAGCTAGCAGGATAATCTGCGAAGGCCGTTTTCTGGCTATTCAGGATTCATCAGCTGAGTGTGTATATATAAATGTATATATCAGAATTTCTGTTAGTCTTAGTCTTCCCACTGGGGTCAGTCATGAATATTTAGTGGTCTATTCTTTAAGAAGACAGTTGATATACGTTAATTATGATTCACGCTAGGTGCTTTTACAGTTTTCAGAACACTGAATAAACCATGAATCGAAATAGTAAAAACAAAACATCGACTTGCTGATAGTTTTCCGATCAAAGACCTCTGAAAATGTCTGTTAATTTGAAGGAATTGAGGGGAATTTAAGCCTAGGGTTAAACGGTAGTTGTTCGGAACTTCCTGAAATTTGACATTACATCTGGGAGGTTTCGTCATCCGTCTTGATAAAATTATTAGTAATAACTTTGGAGGGAAGTTAAGCATCCCTCTGTGTGGAATGAATATTTTTGGCAGTGTTTTTTCCAACTAAAGATATTGTCCGGTCGTAGCATGGCTAGCAGATTTGTGCCAAAAGTTTGAACTCTTTGACATCAAAGTCTGTAAGGCCACACTTAGACAGACTGTTTTCTTCAGCAAAATTGTATCATTTATTAGTCAACATACCTGGCTTTCGATTTATATCTACACCTTTGAATTCCTTGATGAATAATTGCTTCCTTCATAAATTCGGCTTTTAATTAGATGCTCATCAAATCGTCTTTTACTTTCCGTTTCGTTAGGACACCAGGCTTCGGAGAAATGCATTTCTATCTATGAACCAACTCACTGTAACATTTCCATATTCCTTTAGCCTAAGTAATGATTTTAGCTGAGACCAATGACGTGTGGTAGATTCTACAGGTTGGATGGAGGTAGGGTTTGACGTTCTTGGGGATAGAATGCAGGATATTCAGGGATTTAAAAGTGCGAAGTTGAGCGCAGATGAAAACCCACTAGTGTTGGAGATGAAACCTAACAGTCGTGCCCGCCACAGACCATTCGACACAGATGAGTAGTCAGGAGCATCTAAATGTAACTCAGCCCATGGAAGTTAAATGGTTGTCAAACCTTTCCCGACAACTGGTAAGAACAACAGCAATGGTTTTAAGGGTGCTCGAAGCAGATTAGTTCAATAAAGACCTAGAACAGTTGATGGCAGCCGATGCACATGAACGCTACCAGAAAAAAATGTTATTTCGGATGGATGGTTTACTGGTGCATAAACTACCTCAAGTTGCGAAAATGTAAATAGTAAAATACATGCTATTGCTTACCTGTAAGATTAGTGATCTTTGAGCTTATACGTAGAGGAGTGATATGTGCCAGGATGTGAGTAAATGACCGTGAACTAATTTGTATAGTCGACGGTGCAAGAACTATACCATATTTATAAGGCCATGCAATCACAGCTAAAATCCCAGGATATGACATAAGCGTTAACAGAATACATTACGTGTGGTTGAATTATCATGACAATCCTTCTACCTGCTTCAAGTTTACCTGCTTGACTTACTTTATTTTGCCATGATGGTCTTTTACAGCTAGTCAAATGAAGTATGATAAGAAGGAGATACAATGAAAACCATGATAAATATACCAATAATATTTCCTAAACATCCGTGATTGTGACGAAAACATTACTTTCAGCATAGTAAATGTCCGTAGTTTCACCTCTAAGCTGTTTAACTTTATTTACATGACATCATGTGAACCGATAAAAGGAATTTCGAGACAGACATTTCAGAGTGATACTAAAGGCCAACCTAAAAACTACTAAAATGACCAATGAATGACCTATATTTTGGTTGAAAGGGTAGTTTTTCATAAGATAAAGGAACCTTATTGACCATTAAAGCAGTTCTCAGAGTGACCTTTAAATTAATCATCAAATATCATCATAATGGACAGAAAGCGAACGTAGCTTACATCAGTTAGATAATACTAGTTGCTTACCGACCTTATTTTTATTGCTGATTGACTTTTACCTACATAATATTTACGTTAATTTCTTCTCAGTCATATCCTTGAAACGTGAATCAAACTTGTTGATATTAGGAGTGTTCTCATTCGAAGAGTGGGTTTAAAGGCTACCCTATAAGTTGCCGAGGTAACCAATCAGGTTCTGGTATTTCACCTAAAAAGTTAGTTTTCCATATAATAGAAAAACCGTAAGTGACTACCTCAGCAGTTTTTTAAGATGATCTTTACGCTCACTCCACAAGATATGGAAGATTGTTTGAATATATACATTTGGTTAGCTGATAGGCAATTTGGTTTTCCTGTATTCAATAATTTCTTTGATTTTGGCTAAACAGGTAGTTTTTTTATAAAATAGGAAAGCTTGATTGACCGCTTCACCATTTATCGGGTGACACTTCATAGTTTCCACCCACTGTAGTTGTGTTACAACATTTGAATGAGACCTATCCAATGAACAATCTTTCACTGTACTTGATAAACCGATGTTTTCAGTTGATTGCCGGTAGATCTTCATCCGCTAGGTATTTCTCATGATGAACGAGAAGAAAATATAAATTTTCATGTGATTTCATTATTCAAGTGTGCTTGTGAATTCTATTACACACTGATTCCAATTTATAGCTAATAATTAAAATAAGGAACGATGTGAAAAGAAACTGAAATCATTTTGTTTTGACAAAGCTAACTGACTTACATATATGATGGATGGATTCATTATTGTTGTGATAATCATAATGCTGTTCAAACGGTGCACAAGTTGTTTCTATGGCAATCTAAAAATTACAGACGGAAAAAATGACTAAAAGTAAACAGAAGCAAACAAAATCAATGAGAAAATCATTTATTTGATTTAGTTATAACTGCAGATTTTCACCATAGGATTTATGATTATTATTAATCATGGCTTTTCGATAGTCGCTTAATGTAGTTTAGTTTGAGGTTTAGAAAGATTTTATTTTTAAGGCAATATCCATCACGGAGTGATATCAGCTGAAGTGATGAATACTACCTTGAAAATAAAATTCCCATAAACCTTAAAGTACGTTACTGTGTAGTACTCATTAGGGATATGGTTTGAGATGGATATCACAAAGTTCTTGCAGGAAGTTGTGACTTGCGGGGTAAACCAGTCGGAAGGGATGAGAATGCCGACTGAAGACCTCCGTGGACAGTCGCACTGTATTGCGAATTGATAGAAGTCGGCAACTGTAGACCATTGAAGTCGAAGCCAGTGACTGGATGGTTAACGCATTCGCCATGAAACATCAAGGTTCTGAGTTTGATTTCTGGAAAGGTCGTGAGTAAATTGTATGTTTGGATGGTAGTTCATATAATTATTTGAATTTAATTTAAGAACCGATTCAAATCATGGGGATCTGGAGCACCATTTCAACCTATTTCAAGACTGATTAGCTACAAAATATAATGAGTGTTTACTGCAATAAGTGTGTAAATCGGTCAACGGATAATAATGGATGTGTCGGTTAAGCGCTTAGTGTTAACTAAGATTTCCTAATCAAGTTGATAATATAGCTAAGAAGCTGATTGTCGCCATACTGAGAACTCGAAACATCTTTCAGCATGAAAAAGGAACGTTCGAAATGTTTAGTGCTACTGAGTTTTTGTTTTTTCTGCAAACGGTGAATTGACGTGTAAACGTTTAAAAATTAAAGTATGAAGACAAAGGAAAACATCAAAAATTAGTATTATCAGTTTCATCTGAATGAAAACATGAGTTGGAAGAAATCCTGTCATCTGTAACAGGTAAGAAGCTGACCTGATAAGTCAGTGTTTCCTTGATACCTTTATAGAACAAGTTGTCAACTTAAGATGCATAACTACTGAGTTATATTGATTTTAAAAAGGGTTCAAGAAGGAAAATGTTTCATCGAAATGTAGTGAGTCACCTTTTTAAGTTATAAGGAACGACATACAAATGGAAAATTAAAAAATCAGATGTCTTTCAGAAAGTATTTTGATTTAGAGACACTAAACTAATGGATTCACATCAGCTGGTGAACTACTGAAGAGGGGGTACGCTGAAGAATACTGAGTACATTTTTTGATTTTTCAGCGGAATACACCAACAGTCTTTATGGGATAACATACTAAACTGTTAAATATCACTGCAAATACGTTATTATCTAATCACTAGTCTGGCCTACTACGGCTCACACCATCTAGTTTCTGCAGTTTGAGGTGACTGAAGATTTTATTTCTAAGGTGGTATTAATCATGGACTGACATCACTTGGAGAACCATTGAATTGTAGTGCAACATCATGAACTGATAGAGGTGAGAGACGGTAAACCATTGGACTCCTACTCAGTGGATGAATAGTTAATGCGTTTACTGGGAGACATGAAGGTCATGAGTTCGATCACTGGCGAAGCTGCAGGCGCGTACTTATGAGGAGTCCCATAGTAGGACGAAACAGCTGTTCAGTGCTCCCACGTTTTCAGTGGTTCTCAAAATGATGTCTCTTCATGGTTAGTTTCTGTCAACTAGAAACTTGACAATACTATCATCCAATTTTATCTCCGGCTTCAATTTTTTCGATATGAAACTCTAAATTCTAACTCAGTGACTGGATAGTAGCGTGCTCATCACGAAAACGGATAATGTTTAGAACGATCGTGTAGAGAGCAGTCAAGAGTTGAAAAATAAAAACAAACTTCTCCGAGATACTCTATGTTTTCATTGGTTAAGGAACTCATGAAGTAATGCACCGTATAATCAGAAAAAGTTTCGGTAATTCTTTTGAAATTTATATAAGTTTCATAAATATCTGCCTTATAACTCGTCAAACAGCCTAAACGTTGTTATTCAAACATTGGAAACTTGTTATGAAATGTGACTGTTGGTTTGGTTTAAAAGAGTAGAATAACTTTGTAAATCCTGAGATATAGTTTTGTGCTACACAGTAAGGTATTCATAGAATAATGAATGTTATATGTCGCGTTAACCTCGCCCGTTAACTGGTTCACTGGTTAATAGCCGGTCCTAAGCCAAAGAAAAGAGAGAAAGTTCGGCACAGGGCTAGCAACCCCACCACGGAAAAACTATTCAACCGCCACAGAAATTTCAAAGCACAGACAAAATATCCAACATAAAAACAAACTTATTTCTTGCTGTAATCGGGGAGAAGAAATGATGCCGGTTGAGGAAAGCCTTCGGGAAGCCAATTGGTCGACGTGACTTCTCTCGATGAAGGCGAAAGTGAGAATGAAGAAATGGAATGTCCGCACCATGTTTGAACCTAGCAAGTCTGCCCAGATTGCAAAAGAGATGAGAAGTTGTAGTATTGAAGGGCTGTGAATCTGCGAAAGCTGGTGGAATGGAAGTGGACTCTCTAAACTGTCAACCGGAGAGTCAATAATCTACTCTGATATTGTCACCTAGACGACAACCTTGAGCACACTGAGCCTTGGAGTGGCTATCATGATGTCCCTGAGAACATCGAAGGCTGTCATACAGTGGGAACCAATCTCCTTCAGGATCACGACAGCAAGGTTCAATTCAAAAACAAAGAAAGTCATATTCATTCAATCCTACGCGCCTCCAAATAATGCAGAGCAAGAGAAAAAGGAGGAATTCTACAGACAACTGCAATCAGTACTGGACAAGACACTAGCCCAGATGGCGAAATCAAAATTCTAATGGGCGACATGAATGTCAAAGTGGGAGGGGACAACACAGAAAGAGAACTAACCGTGGGTCGAGAAGCACTCGGTGAAATGATGAATGAGAATGTAGGATTGTTTGCAGAATTCTGTGCATTCAACGATTTGGGGATTGGAGGCAAAGTGTCAAAGCACAAGGATATCCACAAAGACCGTGACATGTAGTTGATTTCACCAGACACCAGGACACACTAAAAATCAGATCGAGTTTATCTCAATCTCAAGAAAATGGAGACGCAGTCTACTTGGACACAAGGTCAAGAAGAGGAGCAGATGTAGGATCAGACCGCTCACTATCTAGTGCAAGGAACCTTCCAAATCAAGTTAAAAGCCTTCAAAGAAGTTGGTGATAGACCTCAATTCAAGTACAACACTCGGAAACTGAAGGACGAAACTACTAAGGAAATCTTCACATCAGTCAGCCATCAAAACAAAATGGGAGTTATTGAGGAACATCCGTAAAGAAACCTGTGTGGAAGAACACTGGAAGTCTTTGATTGCTCTGTGGAAAGAAACCTGCATAAGCGTATTAGGAAGGAAGAAGAGAGAAGATAGGGAATGAATCTCGATGGATGTCTACATGGAAGCTGATAGAGCAGGGAGAGGAGGATGGTGAAGTGGAAGATGAACCAGTGCGTGGATGCAGCAAGAAAAGACGAACTGAGTACAACGTACAAACACTGTACAAGCAGGTGAAGAAGAGTGCACGAAAGGAAGAGAGACAATTCTACAACACATTGACAAGCGAGGAAGAACAGGCTGCATGTAGGAGAGACAGAGATCTGACAACGTTGTATCAAATGACCAGGTTACTATCCTGGAAGAGATCAACACAGACGAAACCAATGAAAGATAGTGAAGGAAGTGTGATTACCAAGGAAGAGAAACAAAGGAAACGATGGGCTGACCACTTCGAAAGCTCTTGAATCGACCACCACCTCCACTTCCTCTAGAAATATCACCAGCAGCCACAGAACTACCAGTGTGCACAGGCCCTCTGACAAAAGCAGAAGTCCTGAAATGCATTAGGCTACTGAAATGCGGGAAAACAGGAGGATGATATGGAATTCCCACAGAATCATTGAGAGCAGAGCAAGGCACACCACTATTGCTGAAGGTTTGGAAGGAAGGGAAGATACCTGCAGATTGGAAGAAGAAGAAGAAGGGCTACCCTGTCAAACTCCCAAGGAAGTGAGACATAAACCTTTGCAAGAACTAACGAGGAATCATGCTGCTGTCCACCACAAGCAAAATATTATGCCACATTATCCGAGAAAGACTGAAACATGCTATGCACACACAATGACGACCGGAACTGGCTGGCTTGCTGGCTGCCTAGCTGGCTGGTCTCAGGAATAACAAATCATGTGAGGATCGAATTGCGATGCTACACTACACTACACTACTCATCATCATCATCATCATCATCATCAAAGAACAGAGCATAGAATGCCAGCCAACTGAATCCCTTCACCTACTTCATCGATTTCGAAAAGACTTTGGACAGCGTCGACCGAGAAGTAATCAAGAAGTTGCTTCAACACTACGGAATGCAGCCAATCATTATCAAGCTCATTCAACAGCTATATGATGATGCCACATGCCAAGTGATTCACAATGGAAATCTACTCAGTGATGCCTTTGAAGTGAAGACAGGAGTGAGACAAGGCTGTCGTCTACCATCACCGATCATCTTCCCGATTGTGGCCAACTGGACTGAACTGGACTTGACTGAACTGATCTGAAATGGATCATGCAGCAAACGGTGAGGAGCTGTTACAAGATGGGCATAGGTTGACTGGACCGATGAAAAGACCCCAGAAGAAGATTTGGATTTCGCCAACCATGATGATTTGTGTCTGATGTCTGATCACACAAACTCGAGGATCTACAGGTGAAGACCAACAATTTGACAGAAGAGGTGAGGTGAGGTGAGGCAGCGATGGAAGATGGAAATTCCTACAATTGAACTTAGAGAAGACAGAGGTGATGAAGATACACAACCACCACCACCACCAACAGCAACAATAACAACAAGAGGCACCAATCAACACCAACGGGATAAACCGGAAGGAAGTAGTCTCTCTCAC